CTTGTTCATCATTTTGTAATAAAGGTAATAAAGGAGCAACATGAAACATAATTTCAAAATTATTTGAATGAGAAATATAACTATTTACTCCTGTTGTTCCTGTTTTAACATCTAACCCTCCTCTATATCCACTCCATCCATTAAGTTCAATTTTATTACCAATAAGATCTAAGAATTTCCAAAATGCTGGAGAACAACTTTCTGGAGTATTTCTAAATATTGCATTTTCTTCTGTTTGATCAGGTTTTACATAAATAACCCCAAATTTATAATGGGTTATTAGAGACTTAGTTTCCATTTCAAGTAATTCTTCGTCAATTTCTATTGTATTATTTAAACAAATAACAGTCTTTGGGTCTTTGAAAAATTTACTATAATTTTGTGGTTTTTCTGATTCTTCTTTTCCAATAAGACAACGAGTAACCCCTTGATTATTTCTTAAAATACAACGAGAAACTTCTCTGAAACGTTGAATAGAACAAATGACATTTTCTTCTTTAGATAAATAATGCTTAACTTGGTCATTACCATAAAAAAATTCTTTATAAAATGGAAAATCAGATTCAAAATCAATAATAGTGAAATTTTTTAAATCTGTTTTTTGATCTACAGACTCAGAACATGTTTCAATAAAATATCCATCTTCTTTAACATTTAATGTAATTAATGAATCACCAAATACTCCTTCTTTATAAGTGTCTTTTGGCATTTCCATTGTACTCCAAGAATCAATTTTAATTGTTCCTCGATAAACTGCATTACTACACATAGCAAAAACTAAATCTCTTTTTGTAATCTTAGATTTATTCATTCTTTTATATCCAGTTAATGATTCACATGGTAATGTAACAACTGAATTACTATCAAAACAACGGACATTTTCTTTAAATAATTGTAATACTATTAAATTTTCTTGTTCTTCTTTTGCTTTTTCCTCGTTACTCTTTTCATTACTAAATGTTAATGCTTCTTTAGTTGATTCACCCAACCCTTTTACAAATTTTCCTGCTGAAGCAAATACACCTTTCTTTTCTTTATCTTCCTTTTCTGGTGTTTTCTTGGATAAGTCTTTTGAATTATGTGACTTTTCTGATTTTTCTAATGAAGAAGAAGATTCATCTGCTTTTTGGGATCCTGAAGTTAGTGTAGGGTCATCAGGATTCGAGCTATTTCTTTTCTTACCAAATCTTCTAAACTTACTTTCTTTTTTTGTTTCTTTTTCTGTTTTATCTAATGAAGTAACAGAAACTGTGTCAGTATTTGCACAGCTTTGACTAACACTTTTAGTTTCTGTATTCATTGAAGCAGACGTATATGATGCAGTATCTCCATTGATATTTGAAATTATTGATTTGTTATCACTTGGATTTATACTTTGAAGGTTTTGTGAGTCTATAAGAGAAATATCACTTCCACTTGTTTCTTGTTCAAGTAAAGGTTCTGAAACAATAATTTCACCTTCTGAACAACTTTCTTCTTTTGTTTTTTCTTTTTTCTTATCTTTTTCATCTTTACTAAGAGCATGACCGACTGCTTTACCTCCTTTAACTACTCCATGTCCCACTGCTTTTGTTCCATTAACTACTCCATGTCCCACTGCTTTTGTTCCACTAACTACTCCATGTCCAACAACTTTTGTACCTTTAACAAGACCATGTCCAACAGCCTTAGTTCCTTTTGCAATACCACCAACAGTTTTAGATAGAAAATTCTTTTTCCCTTTTTTTTCTTTTACTTCTTCTTCAGATGTATCTGTCTTAGAAGATCCAGAAAGTAAAGGAGATCCATTTTCTTCTGTCTTTTCATCTTGTCTTTCTTCTAACATAGATTCTGTTGTTGTAAGGCAACTGGATGAAGATTCAGTTAGTTCGTCTTTTTTTTCTTGAGAGGGAATTGAAGAAGAAAGTATTTCTTGTTTGTTTGACATACAACTTAATAAAAGTTCTTTTCAGTTTTAGTTAATTTTTATTTTTTTTTTGTTAATACAACATTTAGTAAGAGTCGGTGATAGTATTTATGACTTGCACAACGTTTGCAGCAACCCCTTTATTTTTAATTGCTTTTTCTTTTTTATTCTTAAATTATTATTTTCTTTAAATATTCTTTTAAAACAAAAATTCTACTCCTTCGTTCTCTTCAATTTCGTTTCGTGATTTTTTTTATTACATCGTTTTTATTTTTACACTATTTTGTTTTACTCAAAATGTTTTTCTTGATAAATTTTGAATAACAATTCTTATCTAACAATTAAGTTTTTATATTTTTGTTTTTTCTTTTTCCATTTCAACAGAGTTTTCAGCTCTTAAAATTGAGATGAAACAAATCCCGAATTATTAGTATCAGATAAAGAAATAATAAATTAATTCATTACTATGGTAAAAATTATAAAAATAAATTATAGAACTAGTTTCACTTGAAGTTCATTAAGAAAATTCTTTTTTTTCTGCAAGGAACTCAAATCTTGTTATTCTATTCTTATGATTTCGGCTATCTTCTTCATGAATGCGAAGGGAGACCTTCTCATCTCAAGAATCTATAGAGATGATGTGATGAAAGGAGTAGCTTCTGCATTTAGGTCATATGTATTAACAGAAAAAAATGTATTACCAGTTAAGATTGTTGGGTCAACTGTATTTTATCATATTAGAGTTAATTCATTATATATTGTTGCTTTAGCAAGAAGTAATAATAATGCTGCTGTTGTGTTTGAAGTGTTACATAAAATTGTTGAAGTATTCCAAGCTTATTTCAGTACTATTGATGAAAACACTATTAAGAGTCAATATGTTTTGATTTATGAATTACTTGATGAAATTCTTGACTTTGGTTATCCACAATTTTGTACTAAAGATGAATTACAATCACTTATTACATTTGGTAAAGCCAAAGCTGTTCAAAGAGGAAATATTGCTATTCAAGCTACAGGTCAAATTCCATGGAGATCACCTGATATTTTCTATAAGAAAAATCAATTATTCCTTGATGTTATTGAAAGTGTTAATTTAACAGTATCTGCAAAAGGAACTATTCTTTCTAATGATGTCAATGGAGTTATTAAAATGAGAACCCAATTATCTGGAATGCCAGATTGTTCACTTGGTATGAATGATAAAGCTTTATTACTTGGAGACTCAGCACAAAAGAAATCAATTCAATTAGCTGATGTTACTTTCCACCAATGTGTTAGATTAACTCGTTTTGATCAAGACAGAAGTATTAATTTCATTCCACCAGATGGAGATTTTGACTTAATGAAATACAGAACAACTGATAACATTTCACAACAATTTAGATTATTACATAATATTAAAGAATCTTCTAAGACTCATTTATCTCTTGATATTAATGTTCGTGCATTATTCTCTGAATTACAATATGGTGAGAATGTTCGTATTAAGATCCCAGTTCCAAAGAATGCTGCTTTGTGTAAGACTCGTTGTACAGCTGGAAGTGCTAAGTATCATCCAGAACATGCAGCCATATTATGGAGAATTTCCAGATTTAATGGAAAGACACAACAAACTATTACTGTTGATGTTGATTTAGTCCAAACCACTCAATCACAAAGATGGGATAAACCACCAATTTTGATGGACTTTGTTATTCCAGCATTAACTGCTACCGGTTTACAAATTCGTTATTTGAAGATTGCTTCAGACTATAAAACTATTAAGTGGGTAAGATATATTACAAAAGCTGGTGCCATTCAATATCGTCTTTAATTTTAATACAAGAACTATTTAAACTTTTGTTTTAAATTTATAAAATAAACCAAAGTAATAAATTCAATTCATTTTAATATCTTTTTTTACTATTCAGATCAAAATGATAATAATGACAAAAGCAATAAGTAAAGAAACACAACAGACAAAGATGATATAAATAATTGATAATAAATATGCTTCAAGTTCTTGTCTGTTTCTTATTGTAATAATTCTTTGGTGAGTATGATTTACTCGAGGTTCTTGATTTGCCTGAAGTTGAACTTTCCTAGTTTTTCTTTTTCTTCTCCTTTCTCTTCTTGTTGTTCTTCTTTCATTACTATTGTTTTCAATAATTACTTCTTCACTTTCTGATTGCTCAATTATATGGTCAACTTGACTTGGTTGAACTAATTCAATTTTAATGTCTTTATGAAATTTTTTATTTAATTTTTGAACTCTTTGCTGAATAGTATGACTTATATCTTCCCATTCTGGGTTTAGAGAAGAAGGACATTTTATTCCAATAGAATATCTTTTTGTTTTATAACCATCTTTCATCTGAGTTTGAGAGAAGTGGTCACTATCCACTTTGGACATATCTCGAATCTTTTGCTTCTTTTATGAAAATAAATTACTCTTAACTTATAGTCTTTTCAATTTAAGGTTTTATCCTCTTAGTTTCTTTTCGGATAAATTAACGAAGATGAGTTATTTATATAAAACGCAGAAAAAACATCACCAACCCTTTTACGTCAAGTAGTTTGGATTATTCATTATTTTTGAGGTTTAAAGAAGTTCTAGATTATTAAATAATTTAATATTAGATTTATTTGCATTATTACAAAAATTCTATAAACTACAAAACAAGACAAAGATGAACAATAAGTATTTATAAAACATTTTGACTCAAATCTGATGAAAAGGCCTTTTTAACAATAACAAAGACAAAAAACTATCAATCTACAACTCAAAAGCATAATTTTAGACATATATAAGGTATATTGCCTTATTATTGTTGAAAAAAGAAAAAATTTATCTCATCATGGGTTTAATAAAATTATTTTTAGATTTCACTTTTCATTTAACTTTTTCATAACTCTTAATATTGATTCCAAAAATTTTATCAGAATCAAACGGGAAATAAGGTGATTATTGGGATCCTGTCCTAATTTCACAAAAAAGTGAAAATCCAAAAATAAAAATTGTTTGATTTCTTTCTTTTCGTCTTTCAACTACTCACTTTGAAGATGATTTAAACCATCTAATCATCTTAAAAAATCAAAGTCTCTAGTCTTTATGATTTCAACAACAAATCTAAAGGATGTTCTTGATGATGTACTTCTTCTTAGCTATTCTGATTATATTGCCAATGAGTCGAATGACTCTTTGAATGATTCTGTACAAATCGATAATGCTGAATCACCTCCACACCCACCTTCTCGTTCAGCTAATAAGTCAATTATCAAATCAAATTTTACAAATATCGTTTTCTGTGATTATGTTAATAGTAACGAATCAGCAGATTCATTGGAAGCTCACTTCCAAAAGTCATTCGATCATTCTTTTTGTTCTAGTTCAATTGGAAGGTTAGAAGAATGGAAGAAACAACAAAGCTATTAAATAGGAAGAAGTCTCTCGTATTAAGTTGAATATTGTACAATTTATTGTGTTTTTTTGTAATTTTGATTTGTTTATATTTTACTTTTAATTCATTCAAGAGAAGAAAAAAAATTCATCACTTGAAAGAAAAGAAATCAATTATGATTAACCTTATTTTTAGGTTTTTCATCATGTTGAGAAGTGAGCGAATCAGTTTCTTCAACACGCTTTATTTCTATTGAAATAAAGTTTTTGCAAGCATGCTCGACTTAAATGGTTCCTCATTTAAGTTGCTGCCTGACTTTTATTTTGATTTTAATGAGTAATATAATATTTCTCATTCTTTATATTGTTGTTTTAAGGAGAGTATATCCATAACTTACTGTTATAGCTCATCTCCTTTAACCTTCGACACACCTTAAAGAAACCCTATTCCTTGATAATATCCTTATGTTTAATTTTTGTGCAACAATATCAATTATATATGCGTCTTCTTTAATAAATGATAATTCTTAATACATAATACCTCCTTAGTAAATAATAATCCTTATAATTAATAATGAATAACAATACACGTTAATGAAGAACAATACACCTCAATGAATAACAATACATGTTAATGAATATTAATCTTTTATAATAATCACTTCTAATAAATATTAATAATAATAAACAGTTAGTGTTGAATAGATATTATCTCACCAAAAACACGTCATGACCAGACGATAACTGGGAGATTCGAAGCATGGGATTATTTTAGGGTTTCATGTGGTGTCTCTGACGTGCCATCTTCGAACTTTTATAATTGTATTATTTAAATAAAAAAAAAAAAAAAAAGGTCAAATGATAGATATATCCATAATTGGATTTTCTTCATACTGAGAAGTGATTATTTCAGTTTCTTCAATATGCTCTATTGGTGTAATAGAGTTTATTTCTAACACACTCACATTAGATTGTTCTTCTTCTAATGTACTGCCAGAATTGAATGTGTAAAACATTAAGTCTTTCATATTTTTTATTATTATTGTTCGTAGGATTTAGGGGAAGTCTAATTGTAATTTTAGTGTTTTTAATCTTCTTGCTGATTCTTTGTGTATTAATCCATTTATTGATAATATAACAGGTATTATTTCTACATATATTAATTCTCTATTATTTCTTAATTTCTCTTGTAAATCTTTGTATTTATTTATTTTGTGAATATAATTTAACTCTAAATTATTATCTTGACATATAGCAACATCTATAATATATCCTTTCTTTTCTTTCATATTTTGATATTATATATCTGGTCTTCTAGCATGGAAAGAATTGTCACTAACCAATAAATCAATAATGTAAGTTATTATCATTTTATCATTATAAATACATTTTGGAGGATTATTAAAGTCGATAGCATCAAATTCATTAAAATGTGTAATTAATAAGTCTTTAAATATTTGTTTACAAACATAATCATGTTTTAATATTTGATTCTTTTTCATTACATCATAACAATATATGATTAATAGATGCAATTGTGTTAGGGCAATGTTTACAATATTTTAAAGCATCATTTTGGAGTATTTTTGATTTAATATTTCCTGTCATAGTTACTCCTTCTTGCATCTTTACTATTTGGAGGAATGCATTTCTTTTTATATTTAATGACCTCCAAGTGGCTACTGTTAATTTCTTATCATTAAAAGTGCCATTTGCACATCTTATATATTCACCACATTTCTTTTCTTTCCATTCATTTAAATATCTTTCATTTAATTCATTATTTACCCATTCAAATATTTCCTTTACATTGTGCTTTCTTTCATTTATTTCTATTACATTCATTAATTCATTAAAATTAATCTTCTTACCAAATGTTTTCTTCATTCTTTTAATTATTCCATTTGGATTTTCTTTTATTGTTTCTATCGTTTCTCATATTTCTGTGCTTGATCTCCACTTATATTTTAAATATATTCTTAATAATTCTTTAGCACATTCATCTCTTGCTGACATTAATCCTAATCCCAATTCATTTATTTTAACATATAGTCTACTTTTTGGGATATTTCTACTATATAATTGGAGGTGAATCAATGATTTTCTTATTTGTTTATCTATCTTCACCAATTCTCCTAGTTTCCATGGGACAATACAAAATCCATATCTTAATTTTGAGATTATATCACTATTAATCTTTCTTATTGTATTGAGAATGCTATATTTCATAGTGTTTAATGATGATAAAATAGAAGATACATCATTTAATATTCTTGTACAGTATTTATTAATATTTACTTTATCTCATATTTCAATACCAAGGTATTTATAATGATTATCATTAGTTACTCTTGGTAATTCAGCTAATTCACTATTTATTTGACTATTAATATTAGTCATTATCCCACTCTTTTCTACATTAATTTTTAATCCTATTGCATTAAATATTTCTTTAGTTAATTTGTATGCTTTTTCCATTTCATCGAGGCTATTAGTCATTATTTTTAAATCGTCCATATACAATATGTGGTTTAACTTGACTTGTTTTTCTTCTCCATTCATTTTATTATTTAATTTGTTTATTTGTTTATCTAATTGTTTAGATAATACATCAATAGATAATACAAATAAGAGTGGAGATAGGCTGTCACCTTGTATTATTCATCTTTCTACATTAATAATACCTACACTTTCTTGATTATAATATAAATTAAGATATGTATTATTTAATATATATAATATACTATTAATTACTACAAGTGGGATATTAAAATATATTAAGCATTGTTTAATCCATTGATGATTAATACTATCATATGCTTTGGAGACGTCATAATATGTTTCTACCACTTCCATTTAGCCTTTATTAATAATTGATTGATTATAGTGTTGTATAATAATCCTTCTTTTGATGCATATGTGTATTTCTTACATCCAATTTGATTTAATGATAATTGTTTTTCAATTGGATTTAGCATCAATTGGCTTTCTATTTTCATCTTTAATATTGATGTATACACTTTTAACAGACAATTTAAACAAATTATTGGTCTGTAATTCTGTGGATCCAATTTATTACTTTTATTATATATTAATATTGTCCTTCCTTGAATAAAATGGAGAGGGATTTCATTAGGATTATTTAACCATTCATTAAATAATTTTAATAAGTATTTCTTTGGTTGTTCTAAATATTTAATCCAAAATCCTTGTATTTTATCAACTCCCGGTGCCTTCCAGTTAGCAATAAATTTAATAGCACACTCTAGTTCATTGGGAGTGATTATAGCCATTCTATTATTAATTCTGTTTTCAATTAATATTTCATATAAATTAATATTCAGGAAATCTATATTGGTATTAGTTTCATAGATTCATTTCCAGAAATTAATAGTGGAGATATTATCTGGATATTCATCTTCTTTAGGCTTATTTAGATGTTGTCTTTTTCCATATTTCATCATTTTATAATTCAATCTTATTCTTTTCAAATTATTCTTTCTTGCTTCTATTTCTATTATTTTCATCTTTCGGAGGTATTTATAATAGTTTATTTGTTTATTTGTTTTTATTTTAATATGATATATATCATATTTCTTAATATGTAATATTCTTTTTAATTTCATATATTGTTTATTATGGAGTAAATCTCTTAATCTACATATTTTTGATTGTAATATTCTTTCTATACTTCTCTTTCCACTTCTTTCTTGTTTATTTTTATTCATGATGTTAATAGTGGAAGATACTGATTTAATATAATGGTAATAATCATCTAATGTATTGATTAATATTTCATTTTTTATTAATAATATTAATTATTTGATGTACTTTCTTCTTATTGTAATAGTAGTTAATAAATTGTATATCTTCTTGTTCTTTCATTTCTTCTTCTTTAAATATTTTCATTACTTCCTCTTCTTCTATTTCTTCTTTCTTGTTCATTCTAGTTATTGTTTATTTTAATTCATTATCTTTCCATTGATGTTTTATTATTTCTTCCTCCATTATTCTATTGATTTCTCTTTTTATTTCATTCTTTATTTTAAATGTCTTCTTTAATATTTCTTTATATTCATTAATATCATTTACTTTAATTCCAAATTCATGTATTAATCTTTCTATTATTTCTTCTTTAAGTTGACCTCTTAATTTTCTTTCAAATAATTTCAAAACAAAACATTTATAAAGTGTTAAAATTTCTTCTTTTCTATCTGTTTGCTTCCCCCGTTTTTTTTGATTGTCTAATTCAAATGTGGTGATCTTCTTATGCTGAATATCAATTTCTTCAATGGATTTCTGCATTAACTTTCTTTTTTTTGGAAGATCATCTTCACTTGATGATATTTCATCAGCTACTACCACATTGGGGGAGAGGTCAATTACTATTTGTGATTCTGATGAGTCTGTTATATTGTAATTTACCTCATCTTTCTTCTTTTCTTCTTGTGTATTTTCGTTTTCTAATTTAGATAATTTATCTTTCAGGAAGAGCAATTGTTGTGTTAAATTATTTACTTCAGACCTTTTCCTTTCAGATTCAGCATTGAATTTGAATATTTTTTATCACACTCGTGGTTTTTTGTGTTTATCTCCTTCTCATGCTTCTTCTTTAATGCCATAATATCCTTAGTTAGTTTTTTTATGGTTTGGTCTTTTATTTGTAATTCCTTTTTCATTTCTTCTTTCTCTTTCATATCCTCCTCCACTTTCTTTTCTATTTCTTCTACTCTTTTTTTCTTTTTACTGTTTTCTTCTTCCTTTTCTACCAGCCTCTTCTTCTCTCCTTTAGTGATCTTCTTCTCCTCAGCAAGCCTCTTCTCCTCTTCTACCAGCTTCTTCTTCTCCTCAGCAAGCCTAGCTTCTACTCTCGTAGAATCTTTATCATCGTCTTCTTCACTTTCAATACTCATTACATAGTTATTGTATATTCTATTATCATTTATTTCTATTTGATTGAATTGTTTATCATCTTCTTCCATCGTCATACTAATAGTTTCTTCTTCCATTCTGATTGTTTTTGTTTTTTCTCGTGCAAGAAAATACCATCTTCTCCATATTGTTGATGATGTATATTCTTTAATCTTGGTATTTTTAATTTCTTCTACTTCTTGTGGTGTAAGTATTTTAATTTCTTCTTCAAAGAGTCTTTTCCAATATTCTTGGTTTTGTATTTCAATGATTTCTTTTTTTTTATTTCTGTTTTGTTTCTTATTTTGATATTGTTTATACCTTCTTTGAGTGTTATTATGATATTTATTTCTATTATATTGATATTGTTTATTTCTGTTGAAATTATTATTAAAGTGTTTATGACGATGATTATGAATGAAGTGATGAGTGAAACGATTTGTATCATCAATGTTGTGATAGTTATGGTAATAATTGTTATTGTAATGATTAGTGTGATTATTCATGTATCTCTGTCCATACAGATAATACTTATTTTCACTCATTCTTCTGTCATTTATATTTCTTGGTTGATATGAATTTCTTCTTCTTTGTTTATTTGTTTTTCTGTATTTTTTGTGGTGTCTCCTGTAATGCATCTTATAGAGTTTATTTAAATAATAAAAGAAATAAAGTATGAAAAAGAAAATTGAAAAAAATTAAGTGATAATAAATGAATACTATTACTCTGGATGAAGAAGAGGTTTTAAATTATTTGCCATCATTACAACATCACTGTCTTTATCTTTTAATAATGTTTCAACACATGGAGCAATACGAGAGTTCACAGTACCTTGATCCAAAATATTTCTTTGAATAAGAACACCCAACTGTTGTAAAATTGTTAAACGAACATTAGAAGTAGAGTCAAATGCTAAATTTAAGATCATTGGAAGGAATGCAGTAGAGAAAGAGTCTTTTCCCATTACACATCCAACTTCAACCATTGCTGCAATAGTAGATTGTCTAATTTTATAATTTGGATGTGTATAATATAATGAAATGATTGGAATAATGTAAGTTCTTCCCCAGTCTGATCCAAACATTTTAACCATATCAGCCATTGATAAAACAGCTTGTCTACGAACTTCAAGACAAGAATCTTTAAGACCATTTTTAATAACTGGAATAACTTTTTGAGCAAGATCAGCACCAATAAAAGAAACAATTTCTGGTAATAATAATTGAACAAATGAACGTACTCTCCATTCTGGATCATTAGTTAAATAAATAATAGAAGAAACTAAACTAAAATAGTCTTCTAATTTACATGACTCAAGTAAAGTTTGAGCAGCTGTTAATGAAGTAATTTTTACATCTGAAGAATCGTCTTTTAATAGTTTATTAATTAAATCAACAGCTTCTTTATGTGGAAGAGTTGATGAAACTAAAGTTGATACAACACAACGAATAGATGGATTAACGTTATTAGCTAGTTCATTTAATGGTTCAACTAATAAAGGTGTTTGTTGGTTTGGAAGTTTATTTAATGCAGTAACAATGACAGATGGATCTTGATCTCCTAAAAATGGGAATAACTGTTCTAAAGTAGGATTTTCTAAACTTTCAACAGCTTTTAATCTATCTGAATAATACAATGAATCAGCCATTCTTGTTATTTGATTTTAAATCTTTTTATTTTTTTGGTATTTTTTAGTTCTTTTTTAATTTTTTCTTAAAATTTAAAAATTTTAAATCCTATTTTATGTTATTTAAAAACATTTTTTAATCCCAGTAATATTTGTTTGTTTAAAGTTTCAAGTTACTTAATATAAAAGTAATAAAATTTTTCACATAACACTTATCTTTTATTTGGTGGTTGATTTAGTTACTTAATCCACATCACCAAAGAAATGACCCCTTGAATAACTAAGAAAATGAACTAGATATAAAGGATTGATATTAATGAGGTAAAGAAAACAGAAAATTGAAACAAAATGAAAAAGATTAAAATAGAAGAGTAATCTAAAAATAAAATAAAAACTAAAAATACTTAACAGAAAATAAATAATAAAAGTTAACAAAAAAAAAATTAAATATAAGCTATAAAAAAAACAAGAAAAAAATAGAAAAAATAAGAGAAAAAAAACGGGAAAAGGGTATAAAATGAGAAAAGTAAAAATATAAAGAAACTCTATGTAAAAGAGTGAACTGAAAAAGGAATTTATTCTAAATAATGGCGGAGGAAGACTATAAAGTAGAATTACATAAAGTAGTTCTTGTTGGAGATGGTGGTGTTGGAAAATCTGCTATTACTATTCAATTAACACAAGGTCATTTTATTATAGATTATGATCCAACAATTGGTTTGTTTATAATTTTGTTAGTAGTAAAGAAAAAGACTAAACTTAGAAACAAAATTGTTTTTATGTCTTTTTAATTAAATAAAAATGTTATTAATTCTTTTAGAAAATTGCTATAGAAAAACATTAACTGTTGATAACCGTATTTGTGTATTAGATATTCTTGATACTGCTGGTCAAGAAGAATACGCTTCAATGCTTGATCAATATTTCCGTAATGGTCATGGTTTCTTAATTGTCTATAGTGTTACTGACCGTAATAGTTTCGAAAGTATTAAAAATTATCAAAATAAAATTCTTCGAGTTAAAGAAGCTACATCTTTTCCAATTGTTTTTGTAGCTAATAAAGTCGATTTAGTAAAAGATCGTGATGTTAGTGAAAAAGAAGGAAAAGATAAAGCTGCTGAACTTGGTGTTAAGTATATTGAAACTTCTGCTAAAAATAAATTAAACATTGAGGAAGCTTTTTATACTCTTGTTCGTGAAATTCGTAAACAACAAAACAGTGATGCACCTGAAGAAGCTGGTAAAGGTGGTCCTAAAAAGCAAAAAGAGAAGAAAAAATGTTATTTGTTCTAAATCAGTGGTTATATTATATTCTTTTGGTCTCAATATACAAAATAAAAATTCATTTCTTCTAATATAGTTATTATTTTGTCATTCTTTTTTTTTCTTTCATAAAAATAGGAAATGTATTTAGTCAGAAAGTAATTTTCCAATATAAAAAAGGTGAATTGATTAAACCCCAAAAGGGTTTAAAAAGAAATAGAATAAATTTATACCTAACGATAAATAACAATTTAGATAGTAAAATCAATGCCAAGTTCTTTGCAAAGATTTTGTTTGTCTTTTAACATTTGATCAGTTTGTTTCTTAATTTCTTCAAGTTGAGAAAGAAGTTTGGAATAATCAATGATACATGGTGATTGCTTTTGAACATAAGTGCTATCACCCTTTTCTAATTGTTCTTCACCATTCACAAATTCAACCCCAGTTGTATTAATATAAATTTGAACTTTTGGTGTAGTGAGAGATGGAACAGACATTACTATGAATTTTAAGTTTAAGATCTAAAAGAGAAAAGATAAACCGAAAATGAGTAAATTAATAAGAATTCTCATAGATTGATTCAAATTCTTTAATTGATTTATCACCAATAACTCCTTTTAATTCACATTCAATTGTAGTTGGTTCCCACTTATTGTTAGAATTAAACTTAAATTTTTGAATTCGTTTAGAAGGATTATACAATGAAATTAAATAAATTATTGGGATAGATTTTTGTTTAGCAAATTCTAGATATGGATGTGGAACTGTTGACGTTGTACTTGAAACATACATGGCTTCAATTCCTATTTCTGCTATTTCATCATATATAATAGAGTTAAGTGGAGGAAGACAAGGTGCATGTGAAACAGCAATAACTTTTTCTCCATTACAAATATACCCATAGCAGTTATTAGCAGGATAATTAAGACAATGGCGAACACATTGTTTTAAGACTATTTCACTCATTGATTAATGTTTGTAAATTTAATTAATTATAGTTTTTTTCATTTTTATTTTTTTTTAATTTTTTCTATTTCAAGTGATGAATTTTGGATTCGAAGATGGCACGTCAGAGACACCACATGAAACCCTAAAATAATCCCATGCTTCGAATCTCCCAGTTATCGTCTGGTCATGACGTGTTTTTGGTGAGATAATATCTATTCAACACTAACTGTTTATTATTATTAATATTTATTAGAAGTGATTATTATAAAAGATTAATATTCATTAACATGTATTGTTATTCATTGAGGTGTATTGTTCTTCATTAACGTGTATTGTTATTCATTATTAATTATAAGGATTATTATTTACTAAGGAGGTATTATGTATTAAGAATTATCATTTATTAAAGAAGACGCATATATAATTGATATTGTTGCACAAAAATTAAACATAAGGATATTATCAAGGAATAGGGTTTCTTTAAGGTGTGTCGAAGGTTAAAGGAGATGAGCTATAACAGTAAGTTATGGATATACTCTCCTTAAAACAACAATATAAAGAATGAGAAATATTATATTACTCATTAAAATCAAAATAAAAGTCAGGCAGCAACTTAAATGAGGAACCATTTAAGTCGAGCATGCTTGCAAAAACTTTATTTCAATAGAAATAAAGCGTGTTGAAGAAACTGATTCGCTCACTTCTCAACATGATGAAAAACCTAAAAATAAGGTTAATCATAATTGATTTCTTTTTTTTTTTTTTTTTTAAATAATACAATTATAAAATAAGTGAAAAATAAATTAATAGAATCAAACGTTATACTCTCTTTTTCTTTTTTTTTATTTATTCTTTCTCTTTTATTTTACTTATTTTATCTTTCAACTTCTTTATCTTATCTTTTTAAGTATTTCTCTTTATTTTATGTTTTCAGTTTTATTACTTTTAGTTTGGAAATTAACTAATTGTTTCAATATATTTATTTGACAGTATAATAATCAATTCTAATAAAAATTATCAAATTTCTGATAAATGATATTAATTTACATTATTTTATCAAAACAACCTTTTTCACTCTTTATTTTTATAAGGTAATTACTCTTTATAATAATAAAATATACAACTCTCGTTTCTTAAGAATCAATTCATTTATCTTAGTATCTTTTAACTTAGTTTTATTTTAAAAAAATATTTGTAAATCCCTGAGTTTGGATTTAACAAAAGTTAACAAATTAATAATTCTTATTTACTAAGAGTCAGTTGTTTATTGTTACAATTTGGTTAATTTTATTCATTCTATTGTACTATGGATTTTATGATTTTCATTTATTGGAATAAATAACGTCATTTAGTTTTAATAAAAAGACAATTGAACATGAGTAATAACTAAATTTAAATTATCCTCAATAAGAAAAATAAAATGAAAATTCTCTTTAATATTTTAAATTTAACATTACCATTTTATTTTTTGAATATTCAAATAATCTTCTTATAATTGTATATATTGAAATAAACAAAAAGAGAGTAAAATTCATTTAAAATCAAGAGTTTATTAATTTTTCATAGTTTTGAGTAAAATTGGTGAGGATATATAAATTATTTATTTAAAAAAGATGTTTAATAATGTAAGAGAGAAGATAAAAAAGATAATTCAAGAAAAAAAAGAGGAAATTTCAATTAGTAAAATGATTGTTAGAAAACTGAGAAAAAGGAAAAAAATAAAGCTTTTGAAAGTCATCTTATTTTTTTTTTAAACTATGCTATTCATATTCATTCATATTATTGTCTCACTTTGCTTTGGAAGTGGGACATATTGTAACGACCCTAATAATGTCACAGTATTAATTGAAGAACAACCTTCATCTTGTGATAGAAATGGATGGAAATGGGGAACGTGGAATGAGTTAGAACCAACATATGAATCATATGGATTAATCCAGAGTGACATATGTATGGATCAAATTTCAAGTGCATGTGATGGTTTCATTTTTGATCAATGTGAAGAAGAATTGACAATTATTAATGAAAAATGGTCAGGTAATAAATTTATTACTATTGTCAAAGGAACTTCTCTAAAAACACTTATCATTGAACAACGAAATACAGAAGCGAAATTTTGGATTCATTCATTTGCATCAGATTCAATAAGAATTATTTTTAAACAACCAAATAAATCAAATAAACCTATTGTATTAACAACTTCATCTCCTCTTTATTTTCACACAGACAATCAACCGTATTTGGATATTAAAACTAAAACATTTCCAAGTGCTTTTCTTGAAGTTACAGGATATCCTTGGGTATTTGTAAGTAGTTATGATCAAAATCATCCATTACCAACTAATACAAATGCTATTTTTATAGGAGAGAAAAGTGTTCAACCTTGTTACTTTGAAAATATGGGTAAACAACCTCAACAATTATGTAATATGGGAGATATGTTACGATATGGATATACTGAAGGTTCTGATTGTAGTTGTGTATTAGAGAAAGACATTCAATACAATTATAATGATTGTTTATATTATCATGACTATTTTAATTTAATTGTTAATAAAGATAATTTAACAGCAACAAATACATGGAAGAAATTAATTATTCAAAAAGAATATATTCATCTTATAATTTTTAATACTCTAATTATCAATCAATGGGAATCAACTCCAACTATATTTATTGGTAATTTAGAAATTGGTACATTAACATATTCAAAATTATGTTGGTTTGATTCAATCAAGATTGGTTCTTTATCTAATACTAAACTCAGTGTAAACTCAATTCTCTTTTATGCTAAGAATATTGTTTCATTACCTTCTACATTAAAACAAAGTCACTGTGAATTATATCAAGGGTATGATCGAATTGTTTCTTCAGAATCAACTTCTCTTTGTTATTGTACTCCAACTGATTCAACATTAACTTCATTTAAAGAATGGGATTGCCAAAATACTTCTTCAAAGAATTTAATGATTACTAATGACATTTTTCTTAAACAAACAATGAAATGGAAGAATGTGTCTGTTGAGAATTCAGTTAATATTAACATCAGTGATGGATATCAATTAATTGCAGATATGTTTATTTGTAAGGGAAAAGTTCATGTTGATGGAGAAACAATATTTTACAGTTTGTATATAACAAATGAATGTCAATTAATATTTTCCGTTTTTCCAAATATTTCTAATGTGATTATGGAAAATAAAAATGCAATTGTTTTTATAGCACCATTTTCAGTATCAGTTCCAGAAGCTATAGAAATAGGATGTTCAATAAATCCACAACAAACAAGATATTTGATTAAAGGAAATCAAATTGGATGTGGTTGTTCTATTCAAAGTTCTTCTGATAATGAAATAGAGCAATGGGATTGTTTATTGAATCCTAATGTTTATAGTCTTTATATTAATACAACGAATAATATTACTATTAATTATTCATGGAAAGAGATTCGGTGTATTGGTTCTGAATCAACTTTATTATTAAAAAGTAAATCAACTATAGTGGCTATGGGAAATATTCAAGTTTATGGAAATTACATTACTTTATTAAATATAACAGACAAATATAAAGTGGCTGTTTGGGACACATCAATAGAAACTGTCACTATGCCAGATGATTGGTTTTATATTTCAAATTCTAAATTAACAAATCCAACAAACACATTTAGTTCATGTGAAATAAGTCCATTTAGAATTAGTTATAGACTAACTTCAAAATGTGAATGTTCTTCAAAAGATAAAATTTTGAATTTAACAAGTAATTATAACTTATGGGACTGTGCAGATTATTCTAAGTCACGAGATGTTCTTATAGAAGATGGAGTTGAAATACAAAGTGATTGGAATAAAATCATTCCTAAAGGTGATATTTCATTTTACTTAAATACAGTTCAAATAAATACCATCCAATGTTTGTCTAACCTTAATATTTTCGGTAATAATTCATTTATTAAACTAATGCAATATGGAGATATTATTCCACAAATTAAAATTGATGGAAATGTTCAAATTTCACAAATAGATATAATGTTTAATATTACTAACCAAGTACTTTTCCTATCTTCTATAAAACAGCCTACTCCTTTCTATTCCAATTGTTTT